GGGCCCGATGGAGCCCGGCTCCCCCGTCTGGAGTGCGTCCATGGATGAAGGTTTCCGCTGCACTCTGACCTCTGCCCTCGCAAGGACATGGTGGAGTGTGTCTGTGTTAGCGTCTCTCTGCAGTGGCTGGAAAGGCCGGGCCCGGGGACGGCAGAATGGGGCCAGCAGCCCTGAACCCGCACATCCTCAGGTGCACGTCAGAAAGTATGAGCCTTTGGTGGCAATGACGTCACACTGACTGGTGAAAGGGTAGCGGAGGAGGACTGAGTGGCCCGGCTTGTGGAAGACTCGCAAGGACGAACTCAGAGCCTCGAAATTAACCTTCAGTGGGAGGAGCACTTGGAACCCACCGCACATAACCTCAACAGGCTGCACGGTTTCAGGGAGGCACCACCAGGGGAAGGGACACCCATGGACACACCCCGCCTTCCCAACACCACCACCGATCGTCAGAGACAAGGCCAGGACCAGCCCGTCCCCCCGCCGGCCGCCAGTCCCCGTGCTGAGTCTGGGTGGAGCATCCGCAGGGTGATGTCACGGGCCTGTGACCCTGAAGCCGCACGGGCCCTGCGCTCAGAAGGGCCCACGCTTGGGGGTTCATGCCTCATGGTCGCCGTGTTCACGTGCTGAATAATGTTATCTCTGCACTGACGTTTCTAACTGAGGTCGCAGGTGCTGGGAGGCCCCATGATCTCACCTCCTACCGGCCTCCTCCCGTCTCCCAGACAGAGGAAAGGAAGACATTTTCTTTAAAAAAAAATTTTTTTTTTAACCTTTATTTTTGAGAGACACACAAGGGAGGGAGGAGCAGAGAGAGAGGGAGACATAGAATCTGAAGCAGGCTCCAGGCTCAGAGCTATCAGCACAGAGCATGTTCGAGCAGGGCTCAAATTCGTGAACTGCAAGATCATGACCTGGGCTCAAAGTGGGACGCTTAGCCGACAGAGCCACCCAGGCGCCCCAGGAAGACACTTTCTATTTCAGTACCTTGAACGGCACTTTTTTCCTGTGTTTTGAACAAAGGGCCCGCGTTGGCTGAGAGATCGGCAGCCTGCACATCGCAGCCCCCCAACCAGGTCCTGCAGGGTTGGGGGGAGGCACCGGGCGTGAGGCTGCTACGGCTCCTTGGGGACACCCCACGGGACACATTGTGAGCAATTCACAGCAGTGAATACTGCGTACTGTGCCCCCAGCCTCCACACCACCGGCCCCCAGCGCGTGGCTGCCCCAGTGCCTCCCTGCACGTCTCTCCTGAGGAAGTTCGCGGTATGCAGACCGGAGCGAGCATTACCAACTCCTACGACAATTTGGCACCATGTCTGTTGAATCTAACAGGCGTCGGGACTTGGGTTTTCCCAGTCCATTTTTTTTCTAGTGATTTTTAAAAATTTTTTGATGTTTTATTTATTCTTGAGAGAGACAGAATATGAGCAGGGGAGGGGCAGAGAGAGGAGACACAGAATC